TTATGTAATGAATTTATTGATTTTATATATATCATAATAATCATATAATAATATTATCAAATAATATATCATCAAATACCATAAAGGAGAGAAGTCAAAAATATTACATAAATATGGCCATTCAAAGTTTTTTAAGTGCTAACCATAAAATAAAATATAGTAGCAAGAAAATTTCAAAGAAAATATAGTTCACCATCAACTATATTCTCAACTTTCTCTTCCTCTTCCCATTCTTCACCTTCTTCTCTGACTACAAGACGAAAAATATAAAAATAACGGTTATATCAAGTAATTTCCTAAAAGTTCTCTATAATTTAATGAAAAGTTTAACTGATTACCCATTCCGCTGTATCCATATGCCTGATCTCTCTCTCAACGAATCCACAATTTATGCATTTTAAACCTATTTCGAGATCTAGCCACAGTTCATGTTTCCCTTTCTTGCAGCGTGATTTTGGAGATTCATCAGTTGATATCTCATTATCAGTCTATAGAGAGATATTACAAACAAAAACAATTGTTATACATTCTAAAATCATGGATCTCTAATCGAAAATATATTATTAATTAAATATGAATGAAAGTATAACTTACTTCTTTGATAGTCGGTGTGACTTTTTCAATTGGTTTTCTTTGCGATTCCATTTCTTCCCGAATCATATTTAGTTCGATCTCCCAATCAGATGGCATAGGTTGTGAGTTAGGTTCATCCTCACCGAAACGCATTCTCAATGGTGCTGGTGTGATTACGAGAAGTCCATTTTCATCGTATTTCTTTTGTTCTTTGTTCTTCATTTTTTTGTTTGTTTGTTTGTTTGGTTTGCTAATAAAGAATGGTAAAAGCAGAGACGTTTTGAAGACCTTTGGGTTTGTAAATATATTCAATTTTCTCAAGTTTCAATGTTTTTGGGAGAAATACTATTTAGTGTTTACACAACGACTTTGAGTCTTTGACTTTAACTGATATCTCATTATATAATTTAATGCAATCAAAACTACAAACAATACTTTATCGTGATATATATTATAACACAGAAAATCTGAATTACAAAAACAATAGATAAATATATATATATATATATATATATTGTAATTTGTTTCTAAATAAAACTTTATTCTATCATAGATAATCTCACTTCAGTATTTTTGTATAAGTTACAGACCATGTTCATAAAGTAAAAGTTATTCATTTTTCTCATAAAGTATGATAGTCTTCTACTTATTATTACATTTTCCAAGAAGATATTGATACTTACAAAAATAACAATTTATATTATTCTATGATATCAAAATAGACTCCTTATTACGTACATAAATTAGTGGTTTAGGATAATTATCCCCTAGAACTTTTCATTTCAATTGATTTTATTCCTTTTCCTTTTGGGGTTAAATCTTAAGACAAATTAGTTAAGCAAGTTTTGGAATTTAATTTATGACGTAATGTAAAATTTACATTTAGTTTGGATTGTGATTTGTTTTTGAAGATATTTACAAATATTTAATGAGTAATATTCGGAATATTTACATTTTGCGAATATACTTTTATGTTGATTTATGCATATATATATACATATATATATATATGTGTACTTTGTTGATTTGTTCATGGTCTTCAAGAAAGATTAACATTGAGTGATGACAAATTATGATTTTGTTCGAACACTGAGCTCACGGAGATCTAATTGGAAAATTGTGATAAAAATATTGAAAAAATGGAAGGTGGATTGTTCGTGTAGCAAGAGAAGCTTAAATTTGATCGTTGTCGACGAACAGGTATTTTAATTATGTTTCGTGATATATATATATATATATATATATACATGTATTATTATTATTCTGATTACGATATTTTGATTTGTTTGTATATTGATGTAGGGTTCTAGAATACATATTCGGGCAAATAACCAAATGATGGACTATTTCGATCGGAATTGTATAGAAGAACAATGGATCATGTTATCTGGATTTCTTTTGAATCCTTATAATTGGAGAACTGTCGTAAATATTACGAAACATGATTATGTTATTATTTTAACGAAAAATACTATCCTTTTACCGGTTCTACCGGTAATAAACAATTTATTGCATAATTTTATCTCTTTCTTATCAATTTATGAGTACCCAAGTGAGCATTATTATTTGATTGGTGAGTTTGATTTTAATTTCGAAATATAAAAGAAAATTAATTGTTTAATTCATCGTTTTGATTTAGTTTAATTGTAAACTCAGATTTGATAGGATTGGTCGAAGATGCTAGATACTTTACTATCACGTATCCAGATGGTACGACGAAGGCATCAATTCGGTTTCGTATCATAGACGATGAGTAAGTCAATTTACCTATAATTTATATATTTAATTAGTTCTTAATAAATTTGTTTGTCAAAACATAGGGATGTAATGCTTGAGTGTATTGCGCATGGTGCGTTAGCATCTGAGATAAATGAAAAGTGTGTGAAGTCTAAAGGTCCTTTTGCTATTTGTGTTTTAACGAATTGGTGCGTCATAATTAATGGGGGTATGTGTTCTGATGCTACGATTTTTTTTGTTTTATAATTAATGTTTTATAAACTAAAACGAATCAAATTATGTACGTTTGTAGAGAACGTGATCATCCAAGATCATGAAGAACATGGTTTATCCCGTTTTGACGTTGTTTCAGATATCAATCAAGTATCCATTTTAAAATCCAAGTAAGTAGTTTTATTGATAATATTTATATTTGAATTAAAGGAACAACAATATTTCAGGATAATAAATAAGTAGGTTGATTGATATACCTTTAAAATCAATATTTCAGGATTTGGAACAAGATCAATTCAGGATTTGGAACAGGTTGAATTATTTAGATGCAGCTGATATCTTATTGCCCTAATCTACTAAATTGATTAGTAATTAATAATGTTTTCAATATCACTCATACTATTAATGTGTTATCTTAATATTTTCTAATTTTATTAAGTATAATAATTCTTTCATCTAATTAAAGGGTTTTAAAATTCAGAATAATGAGAAAAAGTCAAACAGAAGTGTCAAACAAAATAAAGGAAAACATCAAATGAAATTGATGGATTCAATTGCTAGGAAAAATAGGTGAGTGATAAAAAAAGTAGCCATCTTCAATGTTGTTAAAATCATCTGTGTAGTCAAGCCTGCAAGAACAAGATAAATAATGAGTCGAATATTCAACAATTTTGTTTAGGAAATTTACAAGATGATAACAGTGAACAATGCTTACATAAAATGAGAATTTTCGACTTTAGGAATTGGAGGATCGAACAATATTTCAGAGAATTCTCGACCAGAACAAACACGTATTTCATCTGTACAATATGGAAAATTATATTAGCTACAATTGATATAAATATAAATTGATATATAGTTTGTCGATAGAATGAGAAATAACCTCCATATCGACACATCTCCCAAAATCTCAATACACAGAAAACGATTTTGCGACGAGGAGGGTTTTTCCATAAGGATTCAAAATGTTCAGCATCTCTTCCCCACGCTATGCAATTGATGTCGACACCCCTAAAAACCAGAATTAATATATCATTTTCCTTAATATCGAGAATATGATAGTAAAGATTTATATATGTATTAGTCTTTGTATCAATGGATTCTTACTCAAAATCTCTAATTGTAAATTTTAGAACACTTGAGTTGATTCTCTGATTTTCGATCCAAAATTGGTCTTGACGTTCCAATTGACAAACTTTGATAATACCTCCGATCAAATCAACTAGCATAAAGCAATATATTCATATAGTTAATTATAGTATTAATTAATCTTATTGAGTATAATAAAATACTAAGAAAACACACCAACGTCTATGTTTTCCATCAGAGATTTGTCAAGGACTCTTCTAAAATTAGCAAATGAATACAACTGGTCATCTGATTTAGGCGATGTCGTCTCAACATGAGTATCCTCATCGATACAGATATGGAGACCATTGACTGTAATCCTCGAAGTTCCCGTGTGTGAAGTAATTTTGAAGTTCCCAATGAAGTACCAATCTTTATCACACATCATGCCTTCATAACGGTCTACTACACGATTTGGAATCGATGCACGTATTCGATCACCCTAGATTTTCAGTTACAAAATAATGATGGTATTGATAATATATTAAGATTCAGACTTTATGTTATTTTTGAAGTTATACTTACATGTTCGTCTGCGAATATAAACGATCGCTGAATACCGTGAACACCTAAACTTTCCTCGACACTCTTGATAATTTAAACACAGATAGAAGATCGATCAGATGCTATACCTAAATCAGAAATCATCGTGCAAGGAGACATTTTTTTCAAAAATAGATGCATTTATTCTCAACAATGAATAGAAATAAATGAAGTTAGATTACGAGTAACAAATGGGTACTACTTTAAAGTGAAAACCACCGCTACGACAACCAATAGTAGTTTTTGCAATGTTTTGAAAAATAACGGTCATGTTTTCCACCGCTAATTTAGTTGATTATATATGTTATGTTTTGTTATAATATAATAATTATGAAAATCAATAATAAAAAGCCTATAAAAATTCAATACAGTCATAAATAAAACATCACCATCAAGAGTCTCTATTTATGTTAAACTTCTATTAAAGTTTAATATATATCGAGAAATTTTCAAATATATATGATGAATTGTATATCATTCAATTTTTAGGAGTTATCTTATAATTTCTTTTAAATTTGCATAAACATTCTTTCGTTCAATGTATATATAAGTATATAAATTATGCATAATTTCAGATATAAAATTATATTATACAACTTTTTAAATGTATAAAGTCCGCGTTTGGCGCAGACAGTCACCTAGTATTATATAGACCTGCATGCTGGTATTTAATCAAGTTTTAAATAATTCAAAAATTTTAAGTTTTTCCGGAGGCTTAAAGTAATTATATAAAAAACAAAATTTTATAGAGATCTTCCATCTTAACCAACCCTAATTGTTATTTTTTTTTTTCTTTTTTTGTTTGGTGGTAACACAACTCTCTTCTTTGTTCATCGTCTTCTTCTTTATTTTTTTTTTTCTCTAAAAAGATCTTCTTCTTTAAGTCTCATTATCAATTTCACTCCAAGTTATTGACAGTCTCATCGCTGCCTTGATCGTGATTGACTTTCTTTGAAATCTAGGCGTTATTTCTGCTACCGTATTACTTCTCGAGGTATGATGATGATTCCACCTTCACGTTTCTGATTCTCTCTTCGTTTAGCCATTCAATTGAATGCTGAAGCTTTTAAGGAGCCTGCAAATTGATTTTGTTAACTTTCCCTTAAGAAATTAGGTTTACACTTTCAGAATTTCTAACAATTTGGAGTCTTTCATAGTCTTTCTCTCTGAACTAATTGGGTACGATTTCAATTTTATTTGACATTACTTTACAGCTAACTATGGAAAGCAACGTCCTTCTTTTTTCTATTTACGCCGTTTTATGCCCATGTAATTAAATATTGGATGAAACTTGTATATTTGTTGATCATAGTGTTGATATGTTTTATGCAGAGAAGATATCTCCAGATTATCTGGGCCATGGTTGCATTAGGTTACTCTTTTCATAGACATGGTAGCTCTTCTTTAGAGCCAAATTGTTTTGGTTCGACGTATATGGGAGTCTACAGTTCTGATGTTGCTGTCTCCGCAAGGGAAGCATCTCGAGATTACTCTTGTGACAGGTGCCACTCTGTAGTTATTGTTTTTCATGTTGTGATCTATTATATTGGATGGTTAATCTAAAATAAACTGTAATTTCATTTGTCAGCTGTGATGATTTGGCGACTGTATCTTCCGCTTGTTGCGATTTCGATGAACTGTGTGGTCTGGATACAGCGTTAGAGGTGAGCTGCAGGTCCAATGGAGACTGCCGTGAGGGTCAAGAGGCTTGTGGTAGTGGCACAGCTTCATGTTTAGACAAGACTCTTCCAGGATATACCATTTATGCGACTGGTTGGATGTACGGTAATCAGCAAGGCCAGATGTGTGGCCCTTATACGCAACAGCAGCTATTTGATGGGCTATCCACTGGTTTCTTACCCGAGGATCTTCTTGTATATCCAATTATAAATGGTTATATGCCAAACTCGGTACCACTAAAGTACTTCAAGCAGTTTCCTGAACATGTCGCCACTGGCTTTGCATATCTACAGACTGGAATGATAGGTGTGGTCCCTCCTGTAAGTAATAATGCCACAGTCCATCAACGTGAGCCTCAAACGGAGCATCCAACTTCTGCTGCTCATTTAATTTTCCAGCAGATGTTGCCTCCGCAGACCAAGTCTGATGGTTCTGTCTCAGATCAGCTAATGTTAAACCAGGAGGAAGCAAATTTGTTAGCTTCAATCCTCTCATTGGTAACTTCCTCTCACGGTGAAAACTCATTTCAAAAATTCATCAGACACGATGGCTCGAGTTCACATAAGATTCTTCTTTAATTGCGTTTAATTGTGGTGTTTCTGTCAGGGAAGCGAACATGCCTGCTGGTTTCTTGTTGGTAGTGAGGGTAGAAATCGTGGACCACATTCTATATTGGAGCTCTATAATTGGCAGCAGCATGGATATGTTTCAGATGCAGCCCTGGTAAGCTGTTAAGAATATAGACTTAAAAAGGACTTTTGAAAGATTGTAATTAGTTAATTCTCATGCAATTACAATGATGTTCATCCTGATGCCTCTTTGTAGCCTTGTTTTGAAAGATTGTGATTAGTGCGCTTAGCTTTGGTTTTTAATGCATCATCTTATGAGGAGGAAATTTGTGATGATTTTTCTTCTTGTTTCATCTCTATTTTAGAAGTTTCCGTACCCTTCTTTCTTGTTTTGGATTTACATCTCAGCTCCTTAATATTTTAGAATACTTGATGAACATAGGTTCCCTACATTTTTTCTCACGTTTTAAGAGTTTCGTTGTGCAGTTACGTGATAGTGAAAATAAGTTAAGACCAATCACATTAGAATTGGTAATTGGTGTATGGAGGGAGAAATGTGGTGGTGCTAATTGTGAAGAGTCAGTGTCTGGGGTGAGCTTCATATCTGAAGTTTCTGAAGAACTCTCTTCCCAGCTTCAGAGTGGTATAATGAAAATAGCTAGAAGAGCTCTACTCGATGAAATCATCAGCAGTGTAATATCAGATTTTCTTAATGCCAAGAAAAGTGACGAGCATCTCAAGTCTGATCCACCCAGTTCTGCTGCCCATGTTGAATCCCTATCCAAAACTCTTTTTGTATTTGCACATTTATGTTCACATGCAAAAAAATTATGCACATACGTGCAAATATAAAAGTTCAGGGGTTATCTCTGACTCGTACACTAACTTTAGTAACGTTTTGTTTGAGCAGTCTCAAGTTATCAATGCGGAGAAAACTGCTGTCTCAACTACCGAAGCAACAGGCTGTACGAACATATTGAATGAGTGGGGTCATACTCGTATAGCTGCAGAGTCGCTCAAATATACCAAATCTGTTGGAAGCACTGAGAACTTTCAGACAGCTTGCTCAGCTATATCGAGAGTACTCTACAACCATTGCATGCAAATCATGTGGAATGCTGTCTTTTACGATACTGTGGATACTTATTCAACATCTTGGAGAAAGAAAAAACTTTGGTGTCATCCTTCTGACATCTCAACTGGTGTTAGCTACTGCAAGGGTTCTCGGACCAATTATTCAGACAAACCTGTAGCAGTTGAGAGTGTGAGCTTTTTAAGTTTTTGTACGACTTCGATTAATTGTCATTTTTTCTTATTAGCCTTGGTCATTAATGAGAGAAATGTCATTTTTGATGTTTTGCAGTTGACTTGTAGGGTGGATTCCTCTTCCTGCAAAACTTCTTACTTTAATGAACTTGACTTAGTTACCAACGCAGCCAGTTTACCAGGAATAGAAAGCATCATAGCAAGCATCGCAGAACATGTAGAGAGGGAGCTCTTCTCGTCTCTGGAAACTCACTTGACTGATTATACTGGCATTCTCATTAAAGATGGAGCGAATAATGCCGCTAGTACTGTCCGAGATGGCAAAATGCATGAGGTAAGGAGAATAAAATCTCCTTATTTAGCATTTGTGGAGTTTTCTATGGAAATAACTACCTTTGAATCTGTCCTTTCTTGTTCGGTTCTTGCTTGTGGCATGCTAGCGTGTGGGTGCTGAGTTCAAAATTGTTGCAAATTGCTGCAGGAAAACCCGTCATATGGTTCCCAGTATTATTTGGAAGGGACTGGTGAAAAGAAGAATGACTTGAATGTGGTTCCTGCTGGGCTGCGCTTTTCCAATGATTTCAGTGATTCTCAGAGACTGTTGCAAGAGGGAGAATCCTCTCAGCAAATAATGTCTGAGGATATTATTGCTAATACATTTATTTCAACTTTGGAGACATTGGACAGTCCTGTTAAGGATGAACTTGATACTCTGGATATTCATGAGCCACCACCACCTGGATGTGAAAGCAACATTGAAATGCCATCTCTTCGTTGTAAGTTTCGGCCTGTAAGGTCCAAGGAATCCATTCCTGAGATTGGAGAATATGTTGCAACGGCTATATGTAGACAGAAGTTGCATAATGTTGTTATGAAAGATTGGAAATCACTGTTCATAAAGTGTTCGCTTAATGAATTCCTTGCTTCACGGAAAGGGAGCCATCAACTTTCTCGCAAAGAAACATTGGCCCTGAAGAAGATCAAAACTGTTACTCGGAACAAAAAGCTCGCACAGTCTAATAAATCGAATCAGACAGCAGAGAAGCCAAGCAAACCATGTGTCAGATCTGCTGAAAAAAATCTGGTTAAACAACGATCTAAGAAACTGTCTACAGATTCTCATTTCATGAGAGAAGCCCGTAAAGTCAATACACCCAGTATAGATTTGTCAGTTCGGAAACCAAGTCAACAGAAGATAAGGAATGTTGACAGGCGGGATCAAAGTAAGTAATAGCCTTTTTCATCCGAGTTTGAGGAACATTACTTTTGTCCTTATATTGTTTGTTTTTTATTATTATGCAGGTATCATAAAGAATGCGACGAAGCTTCGGGAAGAAAAGATTGGCAAAGATGCTCTTAATACGGTGATCTGTGAGGAAAAACAAGAAGCTAGTATAGCAGATGAATTTGATGACGAATTCCTTATAACAAGACTTAAAAGTAATTTTTTTCTTTTTTTTTTTGTACTGCATAGGTGTGATTCTGTTTTGATATCAATGTTTATCTCTCTCTTTTCTTTCTTTTTTTCAGTTTCATGTTCTTTTTGGTGTATATGTCTATTAGGGATATCAAGGAATAAAAGGAAAGAGTTAAAAGAAGGTACAAATGCTGAAAAATCTTGTGAGGAGATTTCGATGTCTACTGAGAAATCTGGGGAAACTGATGACTTCAAGAATCATAAGGAAAATTTTTCAAATAAGTCTTTTCAGAAAGTGCAAAAAGGTAAAAGACTCCTTTATTTGTTTCCTGCACATTATACTTCCTCGTCGGAGCTCTTGAGCTTCTTAACCATGCACCCCGAGCCTACTGATTTCATCCCTCTGAAAAGCAGCTCATATATCAAAGCTAAAGAGAAAGAGTATGTCAGATGTCAGAGTAGAAGGTACAAAATCTTGCAATGGAGCAGTAAGAGATTCTACTGAGATTTCTGGGAAGGAAGCTGATAGCGAAAGCCTTGGCTGTGAAACCTTGGACAAGATTTCCACTCAACGCCTCAGCAAGAAACGGAAAAGTAAGATCTCTTTGATTTGTTTACCAGGTTCTGAGAATGCCTCCTGCAATTGCTTTAGTAGTTTACTTTATCCAGGAAATGCTGCTGAAGGAAAAAAGATTGTGGAGATGTCTGCATGCAGCATATCCCAGAAGTCTATGTGTAAGTTTTTAACATCGTACTTTGTTGTTGTTACATGCTTGTAGTTTCTTGAGGGGATATCTGGCTACTTAAATGCATTGGCCCAAGGTTTTAACAATTGAGTACTTTCTTTCATGAAGCATCGCAATCATCAAAGCTAAATAAGAAGCACTTGTTGTATGAAAAAGTCCCCAGTGTACCTTCATGTCGGAGATTATCATTTTCTTCAATGGATTCTGAAGGCGCTGTTGTTAAGGAAGGCTATCATGCTGGAAATGAAGAAAAGCTTCCCTCCAATAAATCAAATAAGCTGCAGAAAGGCAATTATTTCCTAAAAGTTTTCACTTTTTAGGTTCCATGGTTTTATGTTGTTCTGCTATACCTCAACTTACATGTATTTGGTTGGTTTGTGTAGTAGGTTCGAAGAAATTGATGCTTAGAACGAAACATACAACAGAGCTTTCTCCCATTAAGGATTTGACAATAGACGATAGCAGCCCTATGCCGATTGCCTTAAAACCATTGGCAAAACCAAGACCGAAAGCAAGCACTAAAAAAAGGGTAATGTCAATGCCAAAGTCTGATGGATGTGCACGCACATCTATTAATGGCTGGCATTGGCATGCATGGTCATTAAAGGCTAGTCCTGAAGAGAGAACTCGTGTTAGAGGAAGTTCTTGCGTACACATACAACATTTTGGTTCCAAATTCAGTTCGACTCAAAAAGTTCTTTCTGCAAGAACTAATAGGGCAAAAATGCGTAATCTTCTAGCTGCTGTAGATGGTGCTGACCTCTTAAAAATTTCTCAGTTGAAGGTGAATAAAACAAAAACCAGTTATCTCTTTGTGTAATATATCAATGTAGTCTTAATATCTTTCTTTTTCTTTTTGTAATGTTGGTGGCAGGCAAGGAAAAAGCGTTTGCGGTTTCAACAGAGCAAGATTCATGATTGGGGTCTTGTCGCACTTGAACCGATTGATGCTGAGGACTTTGTGATCGAATATGTTGGAGAGTTGATACGTTCTTCTGTAAGTATGACTTGCTTGATCATTGTGTTCCATTATATTATATTGTAGGTATGTGGTAACAGTACTGTACAGTATCTTAGCTTCTTTGATGAACCTTACTGTTCTATTAAGGACACTGTTATGCGCTCTCTTTTAATTTCATCGTGATTGTGGTTCAATATGTCAATCTCACAGATATCTGAGATACGTGAACGCCAATATGAAAAGATGGGTATTGGAAGTAGTTATCTTTTCCGGCTTGACGATGGATATGTGGTTAGTCACCTGTGCAATACATTAATTCTTATCTAGTTTATGTTTCCCCTTATAATGACACTTCTGAATCACTTGTTCCGTATCATGGGTCTTAGATTGATGCCACAAAGCGTGGTGGCATAGCAAGGTTTATAAACCATTCATGCGAGGTAATTGTATGCACAGTTGTATGCACAGTTTTGTATCATTGGCTAGTTTGTTTTGATTTCTGTTGGATTCTTATAGCATTGTGCTTATGCAGCCCAACTGTTACACCAAGATTATAAGCGTTGACGGTAAGAAAAAGATATTTATCTACGCTAAACGGCATATAGACGCTGGTGAAGAAATAAGTTACAACTACAAATTCCCGCTGGAGGACAACAAAATCCCTTGTAACTGCGGAGCGCAAAAGTAAGTTGCATCAGTTTCATATTTACTTGGTTTTTACTTTTCCGTTATTATGTTGCTTACCTCTTATATCACGCTGTTTCGTATCCTGAGTATGATGATTTGTTTATTGTCCTGATTAAGTTTTTAATGATGTGTTATTGCCTTAGTTTAAGTATGATTGCTGTTGTGAGCAGGTGCCGTGGATCGCTGAACTAGGAGGGACTTGGTTTGTAGAGAGAACTAATCCAGGTGTGTATTATGTGCCCGCGAACGATTTTCAGATATTTGGGTAAAGATGTGAATTAGTGAGCCAATAAACTAAAATCGATTTTTAATGAGCAAAACGTGGCTTGTTTAGGGTGTTTTTGGGCTTGCGTGGAGAGAAGGATGAATCGCCCTTTTGCAGTATACATCTCCCGCAGCAGATGAGTCTCCTCTCTTTCAATTCAAACTGTAACTATTTTATTCCCACATAACTAACACTTACAAATATAGCTTCAGTTTTCTTTTCTTTTTTTTGTTGATATATACATTTTTCGTCGTTGTTGTCGTCAACAAAACGAGATATAATCAAGGGCAAGTTAATAAATCTAATTTATGATTAGAGCAAACTTAGTTATGAATTTTAAAGGAAGGAGTTGACTCTTTATTTTGTGTTCGTGCAACAAAACAAAAGGTTATTTGTTAACCACCTTTTAGTTGTCCATTAAAAAAAAAAAAAATCCGGACTTATGCAAATTAGATCATTGTTGGTTTGGTTTCATCTGAGCAGAATGAAAGGATAAGAGAAATGATCATTGGTATGGCTCAATGAAAGCAAAGAGGTTTATTTCTAAGCGCTTAGCATTTTATTGATAATCTTTTATGTTTGTGTTAATAATATAGCATGTTTGGTATTTACTAAATGGCTTTTATTTTAGTTTGCAGGAACTGTAAAAAAGGATTAGCAAACTCAAAAATTCCATTTCCACAACCCCATTGTTCTTGGTATGGTACGTCTAATATATGTGTATTTAGCTTCCCTTATTTTATTTCTTACATTTATCAACTTATTGGACACTTTAATTTTAGTTTCCACTAAACGGAAAAAAACAAATTGCTTCATCAGACCCGAAATGCGCATGCCTATTAAATTTGGAGGACATGATGAAGAATTTGTTCTATTACAAGGCAATGTTGGGGATGTGGTTCCCTTTCCCCTGACGTTTTGGGTATCCCAAAGAAAAATTTATTCATCGATTTGGTTTATTGTCTTTGGGATACCAAATTTCAGTTTCTCTAAGAATTATGTATTATGAGAATCAAAATAATTATATCATTAAAACTTGAATACAATAGTAGAAAACACGGAAGTGATGGTATGGTTTCGTGTAAGAATCTTTTATAATGGTCTGATTAGTGATTACATATTTATACTAAAGAGATGATTAACTTTCCAATCTTCCATCTGTTTCGAAGGAGTGATGCGTATATAGAATAGACTTGGTATCATTTAACTAAATTCTAGAGAATATTACACCCACATACATTTTTCCTAACTCTAGTAACACCCAAAGACACTTTAAGCTATGTACTTTTAATTGTGTTTAAAGACCATTGTATTCTTACATCCAGTCATAGTTAAAAAGGTTTATCTTTTCGCTGATCTAAACTTCTTCAAACACTTCAATATCGGTTCGCCAAAAGACATGTGATTTTATAAGTTTGATGTCAGAATCAAAATAGGTGAGAAAGTGAACAGCTTCGCCAACTTCTTCTCATCTGCCAGGATCACAACTTAGTTGTGTATTAACCAGCCACCAACCACTTCGACACTGGCTTCCAATTTCTCAAAAGTTTCGTCGAATGATTAGATCCATAAAGGTTTACACGAATCCTTCAGTTTTTTCACAGTTTGAAATGATTTTCTAATTCGATGATTTTCTAATTCGACATTTTCATTGTACATTCATCTATCATTTGAGGTTATCATGTTACCCAAAGATTTTGATATTGTTTTCATCTGTTGTTGGATTATAGAGTTGTGGATTCAATAGTGTTGGATGAAAAGTCTCCTCGATGAAAGATAAATGAAGTATAGTCAAACGAAGTATGTATTATTATAGTTTTATATGTAAGATCTTTGGATTAAATATTTGTGGATTTTGTAGATGACAGAAGATAATCATCAATCTACTAAACATCAAAGAACTTGCAACTGGTATACGGACGCCGCTGGTTATAGTGATCAGTGGTGGAGCTATTGTTTATTTTTTCAAGCATTTTTGTGTCTATAGTGCCATGAACATATTTGTTACATTTGAAAGAAAATTACAACGAACTAGGGGGACTAAGTCAAGGATTATCCACTCCATCACAACCTACTAACCAGAATTTTTCATTCGGAGAAAGTTGTGGGTTTGCAAGAGCTGGATATGATTTATCAACTGGATTCAAGACACATTGTTCACGTTTTGGTGATTTTAGACAAGAATTCAGCAAGATAGAAAATAATGGTGAGTGTGTTAAATACTTTTAGGGATTACGTTACAATCTCTTTTTTTGGTATGAAGAGGGAAAGACATTGTCTTCCCCATTTTATTAATTAAAAGAAAAAAATTACGTGATCTCTCGTCGATCCACTCACATCCTCTAACATAACCGGATGAACAAAATCCGGACAAGAATTAAGAAACTGAAAACCTAAAAGTAAAGAGAATGCATAGTTTGCTAATTCATCAGTTAGACGATTAGCATCCCTATACACATGCGAAATTCGGACTTCCCAGTCCTTCGACAAAAAGCTATAGCACAAACGTATTAGAAAAGACAGAGGATGCGTGTCACCGATCCTTGTCGTGAGATAACCCGCCACAACCTGCGAGTCCACTTCTAACTTCACTCGTGTAGTTCGACGCTCCCAGGCTATATATAGACCGTAATAAACGCCCCAGAGTTCTGCCAGAGGTGCCGAACAAACACCAACATTGAGTGCAAAACCTCCACACCAAGCCTCACTACCATCTCGAAGAACACCCCCCGCTGTAGCTAATCCTGGGTTACCGCGAGACGCACCATCTGTATTCAGTTTCAGCCATCCTTCATGTGGAGGAACCTAATCGACCTGTTTCTCCATCCTTTGACCCTCCTTCGGACCATGACCAGCCACTATATGCGCTTGGTATACTTCTTTATAGCTTTCTCCTTGACAAAGCGTGTCCTACATCTGCATTTACCATTAGCCCCAAACACATTCCAACATCGCCACTTCCACCCCCACCAAATCCTTATGCCTAACATTACCGACCAAGGAACTTCCCACTGTAAACTCGTATCACCCAAGTTACCATAGACCCATTCGAATAAACTTTGTGTAAAGAACATCACCCGCTTCCTGGATAAAGCTGTGTAAAAAAATATCGTCATTTATCTTAGAGATTCTCACTTTCATCCAGACGATGATGTCTAGGTAGTTCTATACAAGGAAAAAAACAGTCAGGCATATAGGCAACGTCATTCCTGAAGTTGATAAACAGATGATCAAAGATATGGAGAGCTCTAAGCATAGCAAAATAAATATCTTGAACTGGAGTTATGAAGTTTCTGGCAAGTTTGAGAGGAAGCACCATGTCATCATAATTGAAAAAAATGCACTTGTAAGGTATATAAAAAGCTCAAAATTTCTTATGGACCCGCCCTTATGGTTGGAAACTATTTGATCTTAAGGCATGCAACACTAGTTGATGAATGCTACAAACCTTCAATTTAGGTGGATACATGCGTGGGTATTATTAATTCAGATGATAATCCCAAAGACATTGACATACATGAATATGTCAGCAAAATCATTTTGATGCGACTGCGTACAAGAAGGCCATTTAAAAGAGAAGTTCCTGCGAATATTTTTCATATTTTCTCCATTCATGTTGTTTGTCCACTAAATTTTGAACAATCCGCATATTTTGTAGATCAAAGTTAAGAAGACTGTTCATAATAAATGTGGACAACTGTCAGAGCTGTTTTTTTGCCTAAAATTTTAAAGGGCTCATAATTTATTTATTTTATTAGGTTTTGATCAGAATAAATGTATCTATATTTAATGCAAAAAATATCTATATTTAGTGTCTTTAAAGTTATTAACAAATTAATATCAATATGATTTACAGAGTATTTTTATTGTGTTTACATAATGAAATAAGAAAGAAATTAATTTAAAAAAAAAACTAATTAACTTGGTAGTAAGATTGGGGCATTGGGATACAATAAAGCTTGGAAAGTGGACATTGGGACATTAATTTATATAATTAACTTCAGAAAATTGAATATAGTTAGGGTTTTTTGATTAATAAGTCTTGTTATAAATATTAAGAGAAGCAAATATTTTCTTCACTAATTTCTTAAAAAATCATTGCAAATACTTTTTCTTGTCTCAATGCAAAAAAGAAGAAAATATTTGGTTCTTTGATTCTCGATCTTCAGTTTGAGCCATCTGAATTCAAGTGTTTTCAGTTATATAGAGATGTTACTTTTAATTTTTATTTCTAATTTTTATTTTCTTTTAAATGTTGTTACTATTTTATATTATTAATTGATAAAGACACTTAAAAAAAAAAAATTTGTCCCATGTATTAGTTACATGAATGCCATACTGAATTGTCAATTTCAGAGAGATTTTTAAAGAGTTTTTGAAAGTTGATTCAACTTACTAGATTAATTACATCATATGCGATTAACATTAATTTGGTTAGAAATTAGTTTATATCAAATATATATTTATTACTCAAACATTTAATTTATAAAGATATTCTCTCTCTTTCTATTTCTTATCAATATATTTATAAAATTTTAATACATAATATTACTTATGTTACAAAACATTATATTCCTTATCTCATATTTCTTTGATCTTAGTTTTGTTAAAAAAAACAATCACATTATCTATTTCATAATAGAAAATCTAAAAAAATTCATACATATTATAATTCAACTTTTTTTTATATCAAAAACAAAGTATTTTAGTCTCATGTTAGACCGGTTAGATAGAAAATATTAATCCAATTTAATATATATAATGTGCAATTTCATTCAAATAAAAAAGACTATTAAAATTAATTATAAAATAAATAATTATATAGCATTTATGCATTTGTATTACAAAAAATATAATTTTAATCATTATCTGTGATTGCATAATCAGCACATATATTTGCAATTTTACATATCACCTAACATTTTTGTAGTTGTATTTATATATATATTATATTTGTATATTCGAATAAAAGAATTATAGTTGATATTTACTCTGCACATGGTGCGGATAATCACCTAAAGCTAATTTATTTTTGAAGTCAAAAAGTTTAATCGAAGACTAGACCTCCTCCTCTTCTTTGATTCCTATCCAAATTTCATCGTGCTATGATAGATTTAAATTATGGCTCCTGAATGTGGATATAAAAAGACAAAAAAAAATCTAAGAATTTATGGAATCTTAAAACGGTATTCTTCATAAATAAATAAAAAACTAGAAAAATCTTCTCCAACCCAAAATAATGAATCTGGAAATATAGAAGACATGAATAAAATGGTGATAATCAAAAATTTCATTTTTTATATGATTCTCTCATTCATCTTGATCTTAATGCATGTATATTGGATTGATCACTGAGCAACTGATCTAAGGTTAAATCAAAGCCACGACATTGATGTATCAGATTGTCTGATCTGGATCTTATGGATGTAACCGTCATAGCAGATGAAAACTACGTACGGAGGGGGCGTGAGCCGAGATGAATTCTGTTTAGTTAATGCATGATCTATCTTGCGGCTAGAGATGAAAGCTACTGGTCGAATTTGAGTAATTAGATGGTTAGGGTGATGATAGTTGGCTAATAATACCTGTGTCTATTTTAGTTCTAAAATCATAAAAAAACTTTATTTAATTTCCTAATGTTATAGATCATGAATCCTAGATAAAATCTCTAATGCACATCGCTTTTTATCTATTTTTTACACCTTTTGCTTTTAGTTTAATTTCCTGCTCAGTTATTTAGAAATTCGTGACACACAACTCCTTTTAATCTATCTGATTAGGTTTAGAGTCGTGTTTAGTATCAGTTAGAAATCCTCAACACAGAAATCCTTGTGGATTCGATCCCTAAGTACTACTTTGTTTGTTGTGCACTTGCAATATATTTAGGGTAAAACTTGTAGTTGCCCACAGCACCCACACCAATTGAAAAACAGGTTCGGTGCAGAATACAATCCATTCATGATTTGGGAGATTAACATGCCCGACCTTGAGGGCAGGCGAGGGAGGCAAACGCCACGGGCATCCACTCTAAAATGGCATATTTTTGCGACATCTATTCTAAAAGGGCATATTTTTTGTTTAAAAAAATTATTAGGGATCAAGCTCTAGTTTCTCTCGAGTCCAGGTTTGAATAATTCCAAAAGTATGAACAAACGTTTTGGTTTTGTTTCATATAAAAAAAACTAAGATCGGCCAGCAATGATAGTTTGAAGAGATCATGTGCGAATTTGGAGGTTTCTTTTTTGAATGGTACACATTCAGACATAGATGATGCTGATCTGTTTATGGAACTGAAAATTCTTCGAGTATCAATACCAAATGATGTTCATAAGCCTATTGAAGTGCTTATTTTTTTGAAAAAAATGGAGGATGTTGTCAAAACACAGAAATTGCTTATCACATATTATTCTGATATTGGTTGCCACTGCTGAAAAAATTTTCTTGAAGTTGAAACTGATAAAGAATTATTTACGCTCTACTTGTCACAAGAGCGATTGAATGAGTTAGCGTAGTTATCAATTTAGACATTTATGGTTGAAAAACTCGATTTTGCACGGAAAAATGTAAGAAGATCTATATTTCAGCAATAAACTATATGTTTTATTAGATTTTTTTATTTTCTTACAAATTGTTTATGGAATTTGATTATTTTACAAAATTTTTGTTTTATTTGTTTTATTATTTAATTTTGAAAAAAAAATATAAAAGAGCATATTTAAAAAAATTCGACGCAGGCATCCAGGCACTGACTACAAGTCTGGTTTGGAACTCGGATCTAAGAAGAAATTGGCAATCCTACTTTAGCTTATTTTATTTTCTTTTAAATTTCAGACCAAAGTTGCACTCTTGTTGTAGAAACTCCTTTTTGAGCTTGCATATAAATTAACATTCAATTCAAAAAAAAACTTTGACATTCTCAAAACAACACAATCAAAGATGTTATAGCAAAAGAGGGAAGTAATTAGCAAAAGATATTTAAGAAAAAAGGGAGTTTAGCACATTTGTACTGAAAAATGCTCTATATCCTTAATTCTAAAAATCACCCGCAGTGTACCGATTATGTATGTGGGCGCGAGGTTAGCACAATGGTCAGTCAATAGCTCCCTTGGAGCTTCTTCGCTACATCTGAGAAAGTCAGGGATAAAGGTAGTTACAGTCCCTATAGTCTTTTGTAACTTCTTACATCTCTGATTTCATCGTTCTTAGGCTCGTTGAAAAGCTGATTTAGGTGTCTTTTGTTTCATTCAGTTTAGAAAAGTCTCCTTTGGGCGAGAACGTAATAGACCTAAATTCACCTATGTTTTGTATTTCAGTGACCTCAATTAGATTATATCGATCCATGACGCCTCCAATGTTTATACAGTAAATGAACATGAGAACAAGAGACTCATTTAAATCACTGTGAAACTACATTTACAGCTGCATAAATTTTGCAACATGGTAGTAACGATCCAGCCAAAAAAAAAAGGTGCACTAATTTGTTAATATCATTTTTTTTTCTATAAATATGAAGGAAATAAGAACTGAGTATTATAATGAGGTCATTTACTACCCTGATCACAAGTGTACAAACCTCTTATGCCAAAGCTCTCAGGAAAACCACTGATGAAGCTTCTTTCCGTAACCACGAGTTTGATGAAGTGTTTCTCTGCCTTCCTCTCTGTCGTATCGTATCTATTACACATCTCTTCACCTACATTACATTACAATCCAAATCTGTGGATCAGGTTGTTGGTCTTGTGGTCATCGATGATCCTCGTCCCACTGGAAGAACTCCTGAGAAAGCATCTTCTGGTTCTTCCTCTTCTGATAGAGCTGCGCATCAGAGTTTTTGCTATGTCAATCCACTACTAATCTCAAACTGTTTTGATCAAGAGACGTCATACTTACCGGTAATGTCTTCACCAGCCTGAGCCCCAGCAACCCCAATGCAGGAGTACAAAGAGTCCTCGTCCACTTTCAATTGGTTATAAGCAACATAGATGTCCTCAATCGAAGCAGCTTCGTATAATGAAGTAAGTTCTTTGACGCATGACAGTTCCTACGAGCCACAACAACCCCATCAGAACAAATCAAGTCAGAAACGGACACATCAAAAAAATCTTCTTTTTTGTTCCTTGTTTTAAGAACATGCGAGTCAGTCTCACCTTCCTCGGAACAGAGGAGGCTTGCAAGTGAGCTAATAAATTAAGCCAATAGGCATTGGACTTGAGTTCAGCTTCATGTCTCATTAGAAGAGTTCGCTTTGCCTGTCGATATACAAACAACTCTACTTTCAATTAACAAAGAAAACGAAGTAACACGAGCTGATCGAGCTGAGAAGGCGAAAGAGACAACTAACCCTATCCAATTCCCTAGGGGCAATTTGGTTGCTATGCAAACCTCTAAGAACGCTCTTGCAGGCATCAACCGCCTTGTATACCTGGAAAGGCCATTGGCAAGCTTTGTGAAAACACTGTTGACAAAAGGGCAGAACATTTCTTGTAGGCAAAAGACAAAGACTGCACCTTGCCGGGAGTTGATGTCACAGATATCACATACCACCCAAGGTTCAACCTATCAAATAGGTTTAGCTCAAACGATACGTCATATGTCAGTCCAAGAGAATCTCTTACTGTCGTGAATAGCCTGCAATGACGCAGAAATTTCTCTTTCAGCTATGTGGAAGAAAGATATATATCTAAAGTATAATAGGTGCATAGTAGCAGGGCAAGCTTAGGTCTAGAGTATAAAAACAATCAGATGTACAAACATTCATTCTCTTAACCAACATTTTTTTTTTCTTTTAGCACATAATGAAGCGTTCATTTCCTCAACAGTGGTAAATTCTGGCGGTTAATTTCTAAGAAAATTCTGGACATAAACCAAACCAGATAGTGCAATTGCTGCAAAGAAGTCGGCTTTCGAATAATATGACACTGTTCAACAATAAGAGTTACCTTGAGTTTATGATTTCTGCCAGGAGACCCATTGCAATTCCAAAGAAAAGAGGGTGGGCACGAAGCTTTCTTTGCAACTCCATGTCTCTTCCATCTAGCAACTGGTCCTCCGATTTCAGAAGTCCATCTGCAATTTCATTGTGCTTAAATGAAATGCTGGAAGCTTTTTATATAACACTGAGCTACCGCTAGACTTAAGAAAGACTACTGAAGATACATGTCTGGTGCATGAGACAAGCTCAGAACCAGACCTATACACACAAAAATTCCACGAGGTTGAAAATTGCAACACCATATGACTCCTAGTATTATGTGGTTTCCGTAAAGAAGTAACTTACCATGAGCAACAGAAAGCTTGCTAACAGATTCAAAAAGGTCATCCCCGTCAACTGTAAAGCCCCAACGATTCGGTGCTGGTCCCGCAATATATGCACATGCTCTCTCATCAGTATCCTTCAAGAATACCTATCCACGTATAAATATGTCAATACATCCTGCTTGGATCACATATCTAAGAATATGGGAAGAACAACGAGAAATACTACAAAGTCCCTGCATTACTGCTTTGTTCCTAACCTGTTGAAATTGCAAGCCAGCTGTCGGTTGCCGAAACACGATAGGCTCAGATCCTGGTAGTTTCGCAGAATCATGGCTAGCTTTAACTGTACCAAGGTAATCGAGAATGCAACGCTCAATTTCCTCCTCTGAAAAGTCCCCTACAATGCTTATCTGAAGGAAACCACAGAAAATTTAATGAAAATCAAATAAAATTAACATTACTCAAGCAAATATCAGCTTTCAAGTTTGAAATATCACCTCCATATTGTCCCCAACAAAATGACTCATGACCGCGTCTTTCACAGATTCGAGATTCAAGTTCTGTAATGACTTAGGGGTCGGCTCAATAAAGCGCTCATCACCGTTCAGCATCGCGGTCATGAGTTTATGAGCAGTCGCACGCTCCAAGCTTTTGGGTATTGATCGATAATACGAAAGATATAGCTGCCGTGCTCGATCAAATGCATCTTCCAACCAGACACTATGCTGAATGCCAAAAATCAACACCCTTTATCAGCAGAAAAAGTAGAAAAAGAGGAAAGAACAAGCGGATAAAAGAAAACACTCTTGACCAGCGAGTTAATAAGAAAAAAAGAGACAGAACTGTTGAACAGCATTTTTCAATCTTATGAGTTATAACCTAATACCTCAAGCACCATGTGGAGCAGCTGAAAAGCTGCTTGCATTCCATTGTCCCTCAGAGTAAATCGAAACTCCATCGCAATGAACTCTTCAGTTGACTCCAACGAGCAGTTTATTAAGTGATTTACACAGAAAAGCTCCACCTAGACAGAAAATTGCATAGCTTTCAGATTACTTCATATCCTTTTTTAAGTACTAGGTAAAAAAATCACAATGCAGTTGTCAAGAGCTTCACTTGCCTGCTCCCTTGAAAAGTCTCCAACTCGACCACCCTCGCTGAGTGTACGAACACCAACAACCACAGCTCCTTTGGAATCAGAAGTTTCAGCAGCTCGTCCACCACCAACAATAAGCCGCATGACACCTGCCCGAGATTCGGTCTTCGATATCTATAATGAAAAAGAGAAGTTTCAAGTGAAGAGTCTATATTTACAAAGGACGATACAAGGTGCTCCAACAGAACCCTATTTTGTAGGATTTTTATAAAGTTTCTTTTCCTCCAAGCTCATAATCTCTAACCAAGTAACATGATTTTTGCTAAAAATATATAGATACTTTTTAAAAGAATCTTTAAAACTGCAATCTGTTATGCAGAGAGCACCTACAAAATTTGAAGAAAATGTAATAATGTAAAAAGAAAAACATATCAAGATGGAGGTGCTTAAAATAGCAAGCAATGGGAAAAGGATGAAAGACGTACCTTGAAATTTACAGGTATCCCATTGGATAAGCGAAGCTGGGTGATCCCAGTCTCTTCGTCATGCAATTTGGTTACGCCTGACCCATGAATAGGGACAAAACATGGGTTTCTCTGCAAGGTCAACTCTTGCAATTGTAATTGAGAGATCAATTCTTTTGGCACTTCTAACTGCAAGGATGAAGGCAAAAAGGTGATTTAGAACTATCCTTTGTTATATAATTGTTAAGCGAAGTTAAAGTCAAAGAAGAAGTTACGAAAGAAATAACACCTCAGGCTCAGCTTCAATATGTGCTAATAATCCTGATTTGACAGAATCCAATATTTCACCGGGAGTTATATTGAAATCACTCTCGCCAACCCCATCACCATGCACCTTTGTGGGAACACAAGCAACTATTGCTGCAGGAAGAGGTGCAGTGGGCTTCCCAAAATCAGAGATAAATTCTAAAACCTTGGCGCCAACAGTGTTTACCTGGACAAGAAGCCATCATAACAGAAGAACAAAAAATAGGATCCATTAGTTATCGAATGAGCATAATAAAAATCAGGAATTTTGAAATCAACAATTACCATTCGTATCACATTCTACAAGAAAAGCTAGTACGTATAAGTGGAACTTCGAAACGTACCTCTTCAAGCGTAACAGTCCCAGCTACAGCAACCAAGGTCTCATGTCCTTGCGTCTGATCCATAACCGTGTGACCCAGTGCATCACTTTCCATTATAAAGTCCAGGTTATCAACAGACGACACATTATCAATCATAGCTGCAAGATGTTCACTATCTTTTAGAAGAGCATCCATGTAACGTGTAAGTTCACCCTTGGTAACACCAAATTCTTTGAGTCTTCGAACCTAGAAGTAGAATTACATGTTAAACATAGCTGAACGAATTCTCATTAGCAAATAAAACGAGACAAATTGGCTTCTAACAGCTCTCTATCTAATCTCTTCAACCAATCAATTGTCATCAACTCAAAATGATCAGTCCAACCAAACAAAATATAATAGTATTCACGATGAAGAAATGAGAAAAAAAAAAAAAACAATCAGCAAACCTCTTGGACAGCAACTTTTACTGCATTTTGCCAATTTTTGGGCTCTGCGGTGACAGTTAGTGTCGTGACAGTGCATCCTTCCCTTCCCGAATCACTATGGTCTAGTTCAACTGATGTAAATGGCGGGTTTGAACTCTGAAAGGTACAAAAATAAGATCACGAAAATTATGGACAGTACTGAGTCTACTGACAAGTGACAATGTACGTGATTCCTAAAACCACTAATAAATAATAATAATATAACTCTATCCAGACTTTTACTCTTGGATTTGCACATCAAGACAATGGAAAACATTAGAGTCTCCACTTATTTACAATTTTTTTGTAAAAAAATCAGTGAGAATTGACGAGTTATCCATTTTAATCTACGACAGGCTACCCAGAATGCACAATACAAGAAAATGAGAACAGTTCTCTTTTCTCGAGTAAAATCTAATAGAAATGAAACATCTTCAAACTCTCATACCTTGTATCTTGTATTAATTCGAAAATGTAGAGCAGAGAGAAATATTCTTTTCATCAGTACATTTCGCAGGTCTCCAAATGTCTGAACCTTGCTAACAGGTATCTGCAGGGAGACCACAAAATTGTAAAATTTCATAAACCTACCACCCTAACTTGGTTATATCATATTAAGCTTCTGAACAAAAAAAGTAAACACAGAAATCAAAGCTTATAACAAAAACCTTGCAGAACATGTTGATTGCAAAATTTTGAAGAAGCTCATGCTTAAATATCTGTGGAGGCTTCAGATCAACACTGGTTCCAGGAAGCGACCATTTATGCTCAACTGGGGGACGAATTGCATGTCTTTCTCTTTTAATGATCTTGGATTGATCAGTTGTATTTGTTCTCTCTTGGGAAAAGGTTCCACCAAGACCAGCTGGCAGCTTCGGAACAAGAAAATTAGCCATGGCGCCAAAAGCCCCAGGACTAGGAGAAGTGGGTATTGCCTCATTATCCAAACCAGTTTTCCCAAACACAGCCTGTGCAAGAGCGATTTTCCGGTCAAAAAAGACTATGCAGCATAGAATTCAATAATTATTTGCTAGAGAGGCAGTGGAAAAGGAATGTAAGATAATATCCTACTTCGATATGGTGGACAATCCGAGGTATGTTGTCAATGTCTCCCACCATATATAGTGTGGCATTTGCTGGGAAGTACCATCGTTCATGAAATTTCCTAATTTTGTCAACATCCCACTTCTTAATCTGCTCTTCCAATCCAATAGGGAACCTTCTACCCAGCTTGTTCTCAGAATGTAGATGTTGCAACAACTAGTTTCAAGATATATAACACAATGAGTCACAGATTATTCACCAAAAACTGCGCAAGAGAAAGAACTGTTATGCTGACAGATAGAAAACTATTCTTCATGAATACCTGGCAGTCAACACGATATTCAATTGTATTCATCATCTGAAGTTCTGAAAGTATGGCCCGCCTCTCTTTCTCAACTCGAGATGAAAGGAATTTTGGGTTGAAAGCTATCTGTAATCATTCGAGAAACAAGATTGTGTCCATTAAATGAATCATAATCAATGAAATATATAGGGATCCTGATTTTTGGTACAGAAAAAACTTGGGACATATCCAATGGAAAGACATCATCTTCGATAGCAGAATCAAAGATGTATACCTCATTCAAGGCATCGAGCACAGATTGAAAGAGGTCGTCCTCAGAGTCCTGAAAAGTTTCAGCACTTCAATTAATATGAAACTAGTATTATTCCCTCTGTCCAAATCTATCAAAATAATTAGCGAGCCAATAAGGATACGCTCTCCAAATTATCACAATAAAATCTATAAACAGATATAAAAATATTTTTCCTTGTGCAACATATAGATATAAGAATATAATGAGGTCTTCAAATGGATGTGGAGAGAGTAAGTAGAGTGATAAGGAAAAAAAGGAGTGAAAGAATGTAGTAATTTGGTAAAATCAATGTTATTTTTATAAGCACCGTAATTAATGCTACTAGTACTACTATAAGCACCATACTTGATCTAGCAAATACAGAGGCAGCAAAAACCTGAAAAAATGAACTAAGCAGAAGCTATATCAAATACTACGACAATAGGTGGACAAAAAAACAAACCTTTGTGTGTGTTGGAGAATGAATATGAAATACTGTATGGTGGAAATCGGTGTAGGCATTAGAGCGGGCACCTGTACCAAGAAGTTTCTCACGTTTCTTGCTACCAAGAAATGCAACATGTTCTATCATATGAGCAATTCCTTGCTCATCATCTTCCTCATCAATCGATCCTACATGAACTTCCATGTGTGCCTCAAATCTGACATTTTAAAAAATATCACCACATACGTAAGAAATAAGAGGAAGACCTTAAAAATGCCATCATATCTTTAAGCGCTATAATGGGAAGGGGATACAAGATAGCCCACGTCTATCTATTTCTTTGCGGTTTTTTTAAGAATATAATTGATAGGTCAATATTATGCGAAATCATCTCATTCTGATGCTTGAAGCAGACATTAAGAGCATCATGTATAGACTAACTTCAAGCATTCTACACAATTTACCTGTTTGGTGGAACTTTATTTGGCAAAATAAGATACCGAAGTCCGTTTTTCAACTGTCCCCGGTGCAACTTCGGATGAGAAGGAAGTTCAGCACCAAGAAACGCTTCTAGCTCCGCCCTATCGAACTCAGGGGGCAATAAGTCCACATCTTGTCTCTCCGCAACAATGCTATCTGGCCAGGCTGTACCAGCAGCATGTGGCTCATCTGGTCCAACTGTTGCATTTAGAATCTGAGAATGTTTTCTCTGACAATTTAGGCGCATGTTGGAGTCAGTTATATACAACAGTTCAAAAACAAAGTCACAAGACTAGAACACAGAAGGGAAATGATGTTTAGCTTACGAACCAGAGAAGACGTCAAACGAGAGCTTGACAAACTAAATGAAGTTCTGTCCACAAAGGCTCTATGTAATGATCTTCTGATCCCTGGTTGAGTCTTTTTACAGGTGAGACAGAACTTACTTCCCTGAGAAAGTGATGTCTCAGTGATTCGTTGTCCCAGAACAATATTCCTCTTCCAACGTCCACTCTTGGTACTTTGTTTTGCCCTTTCAACACCATAAAAACAAAAATTCAACCAAAAATTAGTATCACACTGCTCCAAATTTTCAGGAGAATATAACTATAAATAAACTAAAAAACTGAGAGAGAAGAAAAAGCAAGAATCAATGGCTAACTAATTTCATCGAATTGAGAAAGAAAGAAACAAAAACAACAAAGATGTTAATTGATTTTTCTCATAAAACATCTCCATCTCAAAGTCTAATTCTCGTACAGATAGAAGAAGAAACAGAATATTAAGATGACCTACCAAAGACCATTATAAGGAATTAGAGACTGAGCTTCCACGCGAACACGATTCTGCGGCGGATTACACCTAACTTTGTTCCGGCTATCTTTTATAAATCCAGAGCGGTGGCTTTCTCGAGAGTTAAAAGGAGCTAGGATCGGAGAGAACTTTACGCCGGAGAAAATGGAGGAGGAAGATGAGGCCATCGCGTTTCGATGACTACAGGTGGAGGAGAAAAGACACCGAACAAAAAGAAAAGAAGAAGAGGGAGATGAGGTTTGCTACGTTTTACTCTTTTTTTTGGCTTCTCTTCTCTAAATTATACCGCACAATATTATGTGTTTATTTTTCTAATGGAGAAAATGAATTCAGACTCATAATAATTTCGGTATTCAGTTATTTGGTTTGGTTTGGTTTGGTTAAATTCGGTTCGGTTTGGTTAAATTCGATTCGGTTCGAATTCTTTTGTTTTTGGATGTTTTAGACTTTTATGGTATGCTTGGTAACCACTGTTATTTTTAGCTTTTACTGCAAACTGTACACTTTAAAAACTTTTGGCTTTAAAAACTTTTTCTCAACAAAATTTTATGAAAAAAAATTTTCAAAATTTTCATAAAGAAATGGATCTAAAAAAAAGCACAAAAAGATAAGATTTAATTAATTAAATTTAGTTTGAAATTATGAATATATAATCGTATAAAATTTTTTGAATAATCATGGGAAAGAAGAATAAAAAAAGAAATTAAATTTAACTAAAAGTATGTGTAAAGCTCCTCATACGTAGCTTTTACAATTCTAGAAAAAAAAACAAAAAGTCGAGCTTTTAAGACTTAAAAATAAAAAAAAAATTAAAAAGTCTATTTGGCAAAAAAAAGACTTTTAAAACTATGAAATAGGTTCTACAGTCCCTACAGTTTATGTCAAGCAACCCCTTAGTTTTAGAAAATTGGTTCAGTTTGGAATTCAGTTTTTAATAATTTGGTTTGGTTCGATTCGGGTTCAATTTTGGTTTAGTTTTTAACAAAAAGTAAAAACTATTATTACAACAGTGAATCTAATTACTTAGTTAAAGTAATATTGTACATTTTAATATATTTAAATTTATCATTTATATATTTAACCAAAATTGTTTGAATTTCTGTTATTACATTTGGTTTCATACAATTTGGATTTTAGAATCAGAATCGGATAATTCGATATACAAATATTTATTCACTTCAAATTATTTTATGAATCGGTTGAATATTGGAAATTTTGATTCGAGTTTGAAAATTTTGATTTGGTTCAAAATTTTTGCACAATCATCATTACCTTTTCTCAAATAAAATTTGACAAATAAAATGTTTTGCAAAATTTTTATAGTACACCAACTGAAACATATATGTCCACAATAGATATATCATGTGGATTTAGTGTATATGCCATTACAAATAAAAATAGTTCTTAAAATATGAGAGTATATAATTATTTTAAAAAGTTGTTGATGAAAATATTGAAAGTATTTATTTTCTATTAAAATATATTTTATTATTTAATTTCTTAATTATGACTACATATTTTAGAAATAAAGACAAAAATCGTTGACTTTATTCCTTCAGAAAGAAATCCTTTCACAAAGCAAAATTATATTACAATAATGAACTTATATCCGATAAGAAATAACGGCATTATAAAACTCTATATTGTAACCATCCGGACTTACAGACTTATTATTAGACATAATGAAAAGAAGAAAAAAACTGTTTTTATTTCCTCTAGTATAACTTTTTTGGTTACCTGATTTTTTTTTATTTCAGATCACCTAAATGGCAAAATTTCCTCCATATGTTCACTCGCGATTTCTTCATACTATACTAGGATATGTTGAAGGATATCTTGGGAAAACTCTTCTTTTTCTGCTTTGATCCCTCTCCAATTGATAACACATAACCATCTCGACAAGTAACATCTCGAATCGAGTTTTTAGTTTCTCTAGCTATAACTACTATGTAAGAATTTATACTGTTTTTATCTCCAATTTTCAGCCAGTACAACTTCGATTTCTATTTTAAGAAAATCTCCTATAATCCTCACACAAAATCTCACATTTTGTTTGTGTTTAGGGGATTTTCAGTCCTCCGCTAGAGGCAAGTCTCCCGCAAAACAGAAAAATCATCAAGACCCGAAAAACACGATAGAAGTGTGTTTTCCGAATGCATTCCGACGCTCAAGTCAGAAGACAGCTCGAAAAAGACCACAATATAGCTGTTCGGAGAGCGGAAAGAAGTCGGAAAATTTTGTGGAAGAAAATGAGCCGAGAGTCCTTGAGAAAGGTATGATCTACTCGGGACTAGGGGTGAGAATGAGCTTTTTACGGTGAAAAGAGAGAAAGAGAAAAGTCTGAGGGTGAAGGAACTCCACGGTTTAGGAACCACCGTGGAATCGAAATGAAGATGACCGGAAAGATGGCTGGAAATGTGTTGAGGGCCAAAGCTCAAAACCACAAGTATCTAGAGAGCTATCGTGAGATTTAAGATGGCTGAGGAAGTGAATCCCCTCCCCATAGGAAAAGGTAGAGTATTTATAGGGAATTACCTGACCCGGGTTATTATACTGGATTGGCCCATAGATGGTGGATCGGGTGGGTCGGCCCATGACCCGACTTGACTGTATTCGAATCTTGTGGTGGCGTCACGCTTCTGATGGTCTCACCAACTTTCCTTGGCGTGTTCCGCTTGCTACGAGACCGTCTTTTGGCGTGTCCCTTTCGTTCTCAGTGTACGATAGGTCGGCAGCTCAGACGCGGTATGGCTCTTTGCTCAACCTCTGCTTTTCCTTCTGACTCCTGCAAGAGGTCACTATCGCCTGACACACGTAAAAAAATACATTAAATGCCATTCTAGTGGGTTTGTAAGAGTATGGACAATCAAACCAGACGAAGGCATATATTCCTATTATCGAATGGAGGGAAATTTGAATAGTATTCCCGCTCAAATAAATCATTTATACCTGGCCCGGATCCCTTGATACTGGGACCACGCTGCCGCGGATGAAGTGTGGGCCATTCTTCTTTATATCCCGACCCTTCTGGATCATCGAGCTTAGGTCTAGGACATAGAGAATGTAACATCTCTTCCTTTTGACCACTCAGTTTTCAACTTTCTTGTTTCTGACAGCATGGCATGCACTGTCAAACACGAGGAGTCCGAGAACAGGTGGCCTATCGTGCCATATCTCCCAAATCCAACTGGATTCGAGGCCCGGTGCTATAAGGTTAGGTTGTATTGGGCATATCCTAATTTGGCCTGGGGGCCGTACCTGCAAAAAAAACCATGAACACCACGTGCTAGCACATGATTCGTCCACGTAGGAAGGATTGAATTTATCCCCAACAATTTGCCCCCACTTTGCAGGTTAGCAAAGCTACCCCGTGATGTGGAAGTTATCTTTGCCGGGAACAAACGCTTCCCCCCTCATAAGCTGTACCTGGCTGGACATCCGCCTGAAGCGCGTAATTTTTTTTCGATGAAGGACGTGTTATCTGAGTCACCCTTTTGACCTGAAGCGCGTGACGCCTTTTCGATGGAGGACGTGATGCCTGAGTCACCCGCTGTAGGCAGTATGACCTGAGGCTGTGAGCCCAAATTAAAGGACGTTTTGCCTGAGTCAGACACCGTGGATAAGATGACATGGGACAGTGGGTCAAAAAGGACGTGATGCCTGAGTCACCCGCCGTGGACTAAGTGACCTGAAGCCATGGGCTCGTAACATGAAGGGCACAATGCATGGCCGTCGGTCAGGTCCCAGAGAGGGTGCCATCCTGCCAGCCTGGCAACATTTCATGGCTGATCCCTTAGAGATATCTGGTTCTCTAAAGGAGAACCGTCTACCATGAAATTCGCCAAAGCTGGCAGAACGATCCATAAAAGGAACCAGTCCTAAGCTGTGTGATGCAATTCCGACAGGATTCCCAGTGGATAGTCATACTGTCTGCAGAGCGGCATGCCCCTGGATTATCCGTTTGAGGGATGCCATTCCAGAGACATGGCATCAACGGACAGACTGACCCTCCACTATGCTGGCCTCATCTGGGTAAACACCCCGAAGGACGTAACCAGATTTCTTCAGACAGTTGGAGAGACACGTTTGGTGGCGAGACAATAGTGTGAGAGAACTTTTTCTTTTATTTCTCTAATAAATTATTCCCTATTGTCTTTTCTTTCTCTCCATCGTTTCTCTCTCCTGTCTGGGAGCTCTGTCGTTTCCTCCTCAGCGCCCGATTCACCTCTCCAATCTCAGCTCTATTTCTTTTGTCTTCATCCTCCTGACGATTCTACCTTTCTTCTAGGCTTGAGCTCCTCTAGGATCCTCCCTTTGTGGAAAAATCTTTCTCCCTCTCTTCTTTCTTTGGGTTCAAACCACGGGATGCATCTCTCCTTGATTCCCTGTTTTGCCCCGACTTCCTGTCGTCGATCTCACGCGCGCGTTGGAGCGTTCTGTCCCTTTGACTCTATTCCTCATCAGTCACATCCTTCGATTGCCTTTTCTTCTATCTGACTGGTCACCCTCCTTCCTCTGTGTCTTTGATGCTTCATCTTTTTGACTTGATGACGTCATTCTTACTTTTCTCCTGCAATAAGTGGTCAAGTTTGCGCCATTCTCCTTCTTAAGCCTTATTATTTCATTATTTCGAGTTTCTCCCAAACCTATGTCTTCATCATCTACCTCCGTCCTACCGCCTTTTACCCCGCCAATCTTCTTCCTTCCGGCTATGTCTCCGTCCCTGCCTCGTACTTTTTAGCTGGATTCTACTGTCGCATTTCCCGATTCATGCTTCAGATATGCGTCGAGTTCGGCCTCCCTCCTCACTACTTCTCTTTAAAGGCTTGGGGTCTCCTCAACGCCTTTCATATCTTGTCTGACTTATCCGGAAATACCATCTCTGGCGCCATGGTGGCATCCGCCTTTTGTACAGTAGAGTCTTCTCTTGGGTCATGTCGTCTCGACCTCATCCTTCATTACGGTAGTTGTACTCTAGTCGATTCTCTTGAATGGTTAGAATCCTCAGAGGAAGATGATTCCTTCTTCTTCGTATCATGTCCCAAACTCCACCTCTACTCCAGGGCCTCTGACAATACTCATGCTCTTTTTCTTTTCACCTGAGGCTTGTTATTTTTTCCCTGCGCCTATTGAGATAGACTTTTGTTTTACAGGTTTTCGACATGCTTTTGCTGGTTTTCCCGAGGATCTTTTTTGCCTTCCTGCCTTTGTTTGCTCGTCCCGCTTTCTACTCTACCCGGACACGGTTAATTGGAACTCTCTCGCCCGCCTTTCGTCGCACCCTTGGATTCCTGGCTCAAGACTGTTTACCCGCTCTTCTCTTTTGTTTCCTTCTTTTCCGTTCAAAATTCTTGAATCCCCCACCTTTCGGGAAACTGTTGGGATGTCAGGACTTATGGACCCCGGCTCTCCAAGTATTCCACTCGAGACTCCGTCCTGTAGGATTCTCTTTTCTCTGGCGGCTCTTCTTCAGAGTCCGACCCTCACCCGACAGTGTTCTTTGACTTTCCTTCCCTGCGAGGGAATCATTGGCTATGTGCCCCGCTAGCGTCTCTTTGGCGAGAAGCGGGTCCACGTTCTTCTATTATCTTTCTATGTTGCTCTACCTTGGTCTCTCCGATTAAAAGTCTCCACTCAAGATGAGCTTAGCGAACTAACTTCCCAACGGACCTGCCTTCTCTCTTCTCTTTTTTTTACCCTTCTGTTTGGTTAACTATTAGTTCGTGACTTTTCTGTACTTCCTCCGGTTATAGTGCAATATGCCCATTTTGTTTCGTCTTCCTGTGTAACTGGTATGAAAACGTGCCCGTGCGACTGATTCTGCCTTCCCTCATTCCCGCATGTTGGCCTTTCTTTTCAATCGGCTTTTTTGCAGGGTAGGACACTATGTCCCACAAAGGCCGTGATCGTCAAGTGGGCCTCTTTCGTGCGTTTGTTCGACTCGGTGAACTGTTGCATGTCCTCGCCGGTAACTCGGCCTGACTTTTTCCTTTTTTCCCATCTTGTGCGGATTCAGATTCTGTGCGGGCCTGGACTCGGGGTCAACTCTCTGCTCTGTTGGAGGTTGACCCTTATCCCCTGGTGCTTCCTCTGAGAGCCTTCCTTCGACGCCTCTCAGATTGAGCCCAACGTAAACCTCACCCGCTTCCTTTGTGGGGTTCCCCTGGGCTAGGTTGTTGTGGCCCTCCGCGGCGTGTCCCTATTCTCCGTAGGAGGAAAAAAATGGGTCGTAAGGCTCTGCCTTTTCCTCCTCGACCAGGATGGGGTACTAGAACTCCCCATTTATGGCAGGGCTCATGGGCTCGAAAATCATGCTTGGCCCCGCGGAGAGAGGACTCCCCTTTCAGCTTCCACCGTAGTCCTCTCATGGATTGTCACTGTGGCGTAACTTCTTTACTCGTACCCACTACAAAACGTCATCTCTCGGGACTGTGCGGTCACATGATCCTCTGCTGCCGTTCGTATTTCCTGCTCAGCTTTGCTCTAGCTTCCGTCATCGCCTCAAGCATTTTCCGAAGACGAGCCTGGATATCTTGGTTCTCCTCCAGACACTTCTGCAGTTCATCCACGGTGGGTTCAGATTGGCGGTTTTGTGCTTGAGACCGTGCTCTATGGTTGTTTCTCCAACTTTCTTTGCGGGCGTGCGGGCGCACCACTCTTGCCGACTGTTGGAACGTCATATCTTGGTTCTGCCCCTTCTTTTTTCTCTTTTTTTTGAAACCTAGGTCGCTGCCCCCGAATTCGAACGTTCGGCGGTTTTCTGACTTGGAAAGGCGAATTTGTCTTGTCTTGAGAGTGATGCCCTGCCTTATTCTAGCGCCAAATTGTTTAGAGGATTTTCAGTCCTCTGCTAGGGGCAAGTCTCCTGCAAAACATAAAAGTCATCAATGCCCAGAAAATACGATGGGGGTGTGTTTTCCAAGTCAGAAAACAGCTAAAAAAGACCATAATATAGCTGTTCGGAGAGCGGAAAGAAGTCGGAAAACTTTGTGGAAGAAAATGGACCGAGAGTCCTTGAGAAAGGAAGGATCTACTCGGGACTGAGGGTGAGAATGAGCTTTTTACGGTGAAAAGAGAGAAAGCGAAAAGTCTGAGGGTGAAGGAACTCCACGGTTTAGGAATCACCATGGAATCGAAATGAATATGACCAGAATGATGGCCGGAAATGTGTTGAAGGCTAAAGCTCAAAAACCACAAGTATCTAAAGAGCTATCGTGAGACTTAAGATGGCTGAGGAAGTGAACCCCATCCCCGTAGGAAATGGTAGAGTATATATAGGGAATTACCTGACCTAGATTAGTATACTGGGTTGGCCCATAGATGGTGGATCGGGTGGGTCGGCCCATGAACCGACTTGACTGGATTCGAATCTTGTGATGGCCTCACCAACTTTCCTTGGCGTGTTCCGCCTGGTACGAGATCGTCTCTTGGCGTGTCCCTTTCATTCTCAGTGTACGAGTTCGGTTGGCGGCTCAGACGCGGTATGGCTCTTCGTTGAACCTCTGCTTTTCTCCCTGACTCCTCCGAGAGGTCACTATCGCCTGAGACACGTAAGGAAAATACATTAAATGTCATTCTTGTGGGTTTGTAAGAGTATGGGCAATCAAATTAGACCAAGGCATATATTCCTATTTTCGAATGGAGAGAAATTTGAATAATAGTTTCGCTCAAATGAATCATTCATATCTGGTCCTTATCCCTCGATACTAGTATCGGGCTGCCGCGGATGAATGACCTTGCTCTCCGGGTACCTATGTGGACCACTCTTTTTTATATCCCAATATTTCCGAATCACCGAAATTAGGTCTATGACATAGAGAATATAACCTCTCTTCCTCCTGACCACTCAGTTTCTGACTTCCTTGTTTCTGACAGCGTGGCCTGCACAGTCAGACACAAGGAGTCCAGGAACAGATGGCCTATCGTACCAGATTTCCTGAATCCAATTGGATTCGTAGCCTGGTACTTTAATTTTAGGTCGTATTGAGTCAGAAGTCCACTACAAGTCTTAATTTGGCCTGGGAGAGCTATACCTGCAAAAAAACCATAAACGCCAAGTCCCAGAGGATTGAATTTATCCCCAACAGTATGCATGTCTTTTCTCTTCTATTTTCTGTGTAGATGACTGAAGTAAGTTGTCTTCTTGCTTTTCGCATAGATTTTTGAATGCCGTAGAAATCCAAAATATTAGATACTTGTGTAGGAATTGCATTCTAATATCAAAATATTGTTATGTTTTATTGATTTTAGGCGTAAAGCAAGACTAAATGAATAATGTTGTTATATTAAGAGCATCATCGTATGGATATAGTTCACAAATAAAGATTCTAAAACTCTGATTGACAATAGAATTGTGTTTTTAATCGTGAAATTGTAATATTTTGCCAATTTTTAAAAATTTATAAAATAAAAAATAAAAAACTAAACACAAATCTTACAAAATTTTATAGAAAAAAACTACAAAGAAAATCCCACTAAACAAAACAATAAATTTTAAGTAGATTATTTCATTCTGTAATTAGGCAATACTAGATGAATGTCCATGCAAACGCGTGGATTGTATATTTATATATACTTTTAGACATTAAAAATCTATCTATCTATACTATATAAAAACAGTTGTTTGGGGCTCCTTAGCCTATCTATGTCAGTTTTTAGAGAACTCATAAGAGGATGCCATGTCAGCATTCCTAAGTTGTTTCTCCATTGCACAAATGATCGTGTTTACAAAACTGCGTCTTAGCTCTACGAAAAGAAACGGCACGATGTTGGATTATAGTGAAATATTGAAATGGCCAGTAGTCTTTATTACAGTAATAGAAACGTCGAGTAGTCTCTGTTTCGATAAAAGAAACGGCATGGATATTTCTTTGTCACGTTATCATTAACTCAGTTCATAAACGCATTCTTCTAACCGAGCCACACGAATCGTTTCTTCTTCCTTCCTGCCTCAACATGTACTATTAAATACTCAGTTTCCACCAATTTCCCCTCAAAAAACAACAATCTATCAATCTAATAGAAAGACGTTTCCTCTTGCTTTTCATTCATGCAGTCTTCTCCTCTCTTTTTTTTGGTGTGCATATAGTCCTTTCATGAAGAAAATAGATTCCATCCAAACTTTATGCGAATGAATTGGAGGCTTAATCTTGGTTTCTATCACTAATCTTAAATATTTATTTGGGTCAGTACACAGTTGATGATCTGACATTTTCGGTTTAATCTTCGTTTCAATTACTTATCTTAAATATTTATTTGGGTTGACTATCGTTTGCAGAACTGTCGTCAATGATCTAAGCATTTTGTGTCAATATGGGAACGAGAAGATAGTTTTAAACACTTGCTAATCTCTGGGAGACTGTGATTGTTACGCTGAGGTGAGTACTTATGCCTTTGTGGTTCACATGTCGGTTTAAACCATGGTCATTTTACAATAATCTCTTATTCCACCACTGATTGATTACTGATTTTTAAAATAATCACAGCTTCCTTTAATTGTCTAAGTATCCATGTCTTGGCATATTATAGCCAAACGGAGACAAACAAGACTTTCACTATGGTTAGTAAATTATTACAACTCTCTTGATTTCTAGAATTAATTATTCTAAATTTATTTGGATACTTTTTTCATCTAATCCAAGGAAGAGTTTTGTTCTCATCTTTCAAATCAAAGGCATTAATCATCTTCAAGCCCTTCCTCCTTGGGAAATTATAGAACGCAGTAGTTCTAACTACAAAGCATCAAATGTAAGAGTTATTCATGCTAGAAGGTCCATTGGGTTAACGGCTGAATTCAGATTTGATGCTTTGTTCAACTGTCCATTTGAAATTATACCTCACATATATATATATATATATATATATATATATCTGAATAACCTTAGTTTTCTCTTGGAACAAAATCTATAATAACTGAATATATGGGTATAAAAGTAGAGATCTATAGATTAAATAGTTGTTAATACGTTGTATATATGTATGTCTATTTCTGAGATAGTTTGGTGTCACTTTGTTTTTGTGAAAGGGAAAATTCAACAGAAGAATACGGAGTTTATGAAGAAAAGAATTGGTGATGTGATCCTCCCAAAGATCGGCACAAAGAGGCTTGAGAGAGAGATAAAATAGAAACAAAAGGTGCGGAATAGACTTCTGTTCTGAGAGATAAATCGATAAAGATGTTGCTTAGCAACGAATCGATCACAAAAGAGAGATAAGAGAGGATAAGGATGTTGCACAAAGCAACGAGTCACTCTCAAAGATAGATGAGAAATGATAAAGATGTTACACAAGGCAACGAATCACTCTCAAAAGACAAGAGAAGTTTTCTTCAAGTTTTGATAAGAGAAAAGAGTTTTATTAATTAATTTTGATGATCCAATCCAGGATGATTATTCCTGAGATCTTACATGAATTTATATAGGAAATAAGATGTAGAAAACAAAGCAATTTCGTAACTAGGCAAAAGACTAGTCAAAACATTAACTTCAGAGTTGAATAACTCTTGATCTACTTTGAGTCTTGACTAACTCTTGAACTTCTTCTTCACTTGATTTGTCTCTTGATATCTTTGGACGAATTCCTTGATGGTCTAAGACAAATCTGCTCTTTGGGCTTTGTAGAAAGTCCTCCTGGATGCCAAACATAAGTTTGCAAACTTCCAAACCAATCAGGCCTAAAACACTTCAGGTATAGAACCAGAACGACCCATTTTGGGAAATAAAGAGTATCTTTGTGATCCGATGTCCATTTTTCCTGATCTTGGGCTTGTTGGAACCATAAGAGATCCATTAAGATTCTCCAAGTGGTTTCATGTCGAAATTTTTTCTGAGGTAGGCTCGGGAGCTCGATCTGTGGCTCAGACGCGTAACCGGGCCTGAAGCAGATCCGCTGAATTGTAAAATTCTTATCTTCCAAGTCTGAACTCCTTTTGAAGTGATTCCAATTCTCTATGCTTCTGTGATAAATAAAGATTCCAGGAAAATTACGTTCATAATTTGATTCCTTCTGGCTTGGTCGGAATCCTCCATTGAACGCGCGCAGGTCCAAATCGAGTAAGCTTGACTTCGTCTGGTTTGAAAACTGAAGAACTCTTTCATCAAAACTCTGATTGAACCGATTCCACTTCGAGGAGTGCTCTAGATGAGGTGAAAACATAGTACAAGTGGCCTTTTGGCTGTTCCAGTTGAGATCGGACCCCATTTGTGTTGAACAATGCAGATACGTCTTCTTGTGCGTCCTCAATATCATATCAATTGGAAGACATCATATCCATATGGTTGGTTACTACTTGAATGGTTCTTCATCTTCCAGTTCTCTAAATTCGTAATAACATTTGGATGACGTACGTGATGATCTTTCTCTTAAGTAAACTATGAACTCTGTACTATGATTAGTGTTTCGTGTCTTATGTTTCATGTTGCTTGATCCTACATCTAAAAATTATTGTGGTTTACATGCTAGCTTAGATGTCTACTGAGAGAGGGATAAATACTTCTTGATGCTAGAAGGTGGATTAGGTCAGATTGCTCCAGTGGCAGAGCCGTAGAAGGGAAAACGACAAGCAGTATCTCAGGGTAAAAATGAGGTTATGATCATGTGCAATACAATTCACTGTTATCTTTTATTTTCTATGGGAGATGATGAGAAAAGCGAGTTTTCCTTATATATCCATAACAATGTCAATAGTAGATTTCAATCTTTCATAGCTTCTGAATCTTAATGTAACAAATATGTTGATGTTGGCCAAAAAACCCGTAACAGCACAAATACAAAATATTTCATAACATGGATATCATAATATGTTGATGTGTACATCAATAAACTGACTTCAAAAAACTTCGTACACAGAAAAGAGTGATATATAGAACGAATGCATAAAGATATCCTTCGCCATTTTTCATCCACCATTTTAGTACTAATTGTTTTCCAAGGAAACCGTTTAAATTTGAAAACAGAATTTCCATACTTATATAATATAATTTTTTTTCCATCACATCCTTTGATTTGCTTCCTTTTCACATTAAGATACTCCACTTTAGGTTAAAAAGAGAGATCGTGTGCAATAGAGTGATCAAGTTATGAGATGCTTTAAGCACAATATAGTCTGAATAGAAATACCTTTTGCTTCAACTGTCTATTTAAGATTTTAACCTTACACACATTTCTAAGAAATTAAGTGGAATACAAGTAGATTTCCAGAAATTGAATATTTTTAGTCAGAAGGATATGTATATGTATTTCTAAGATACAGTTTGGTGTCACTCTGTTCTTGTGAAAAAAGAAGAAGAGTACAGAGGTTATGAAAAAAATATTTGCAGGACACCATCTTCCACCTCTCTAAATTCAAAGAAACATTTTGTAATGTGATGATCTTTCTTAAAAGTAAACTATTAACTCTCTGTTTTGTTTAGTATTTTTATCTTATGTTTCATGCTGCTTGATCAACATCTAAAAATCACAGTGGTTTTTCTGGTCGCTGAGAACAGATTTGTAATATGGACCTTGATTGATGTATGAGCATTTGGGGGATATAATTATTATGCAGGTTTGATTAAATATAGCAAACATCTCTATACCAGATCTCTCAAAAAATCTATGAAAGACAGTTGAAAAACTTCCAATAATAAGTAAGGAGAGATGCTAAGAAAAAGAACATATACTCTTATTTGGTTTTAGGTCTCTTTTGGTTTCAGGCATGTGAGCTTGGTGTAAATGGTTGCAGGAAGAAAAAAGGAAAACAAGGTTTTGGTGGAGGTGGAAACGGAGTCAACAAACTAGAACATGACATTTCTCGTGGCATGATAATTGTTGAATGATGGACAGAAGCCATCAAACCATCAAATCATCATTTTAAGCGGCATCAAACTTGACTTATTATGACAAACAGTGGGGGAGTAGACGATAATTTTTTTGTGACTTCCACCATCCACAACATATCAAAAGATAATCAAAGATTAACTCTATATATTTTGAAAATTGAGGGGTTCTTCTGACGGTGGTTAAATGGAACGACGAAGCGGGAAGAGGAAAGAAAAATAAAAGAAATCTACTATATAAAACTTTGTCAATTCTCTCCAGCCTTCTGCCACATCATCACTGGAAAAAGTGTCATGTGGCACCTTAAAAAAAATCCCATCTCTCCATCTTCTCAAACAAACCGTTCTTCCTGAGCTCCCCTTCCAGAAACTCAATCCTTCCAAGTTCCAATCCATTGGACTCCCACATTTGTAGTTTATGCCACCTCCATTTATACCCTTCCTACTTAAACAGATCATATGAAATTCGACCCTCGAATCGGATCTGTAGTGTCAGTTGCTTGGAGAAGCTAGAACAGATTGGCGAGAGGACTTACAGGTTTTCTCCCCCTCCTCCTTCTTCTTCTTCTTCTTCTCAATTGCTGTCTATTTTCTCTGGGTTTTGTTTTTTAATTTGGTTTGTGGAATTCTCATGAATTTTATTGTTGTTTGAAGCGATTTTTCATTGCAAAGTTCGGTTAAAATACTATTTTGTTTTTGTTGATTGGGTGAATTGGATATATTTTTTTCCTTTTTTCTTTGGATTACAAAGAATTGTGAATCTTTTTACAGAACATAGTAGCTGGGGTTTTCAAATTCATATGGTTGGCTTTCATTTTGGAGTCAAGTTACATGGCTAAGTTACATGGCTAAGGAAATCAAACTTGTGAAATCGTGGCACTGAAAAGATCTGTAAAAAAAAAAGGAAAAGAAGGGGGTAAGCTACATTTGCTAAACTTGCAAACTTTTGTGAATCCAATATGATTTATAATTCCCTTATGACTGTCTGCTTCAAGATTCCGATAACAGCAATGACGTGGTAAGATGAATTGGTGGAGCTAATGTTGAAAGCCAACACAGGTATATACTTTCCCCAATCGAACCTTCATACTGCTTGTATTATTATTTTTTGGCGTGTGTTCTGCAATTGACATGTTCTTTTCATCCCTTAAGGTTCGTTGGTGCTTATTGTTATAACCTTAAGGAATAAAGGCCAAAATGCCAAAACGAATAACTTCTGCTCTACAATCAAATGATCAGACCCTGGTATTGTGTAGATCTTATTCTTTGTTTGGTGAAGACAAAATGAGGATAACTCGATTTGATGATGTATTCATTCAGCAATTCTTTTTCGTTTTGGTTTGAGTAGTTGTCCTTCAAGTTAGTTGAATTGTTCTTACGATCTAAGATACTCTGACATTACTATGCCTCCAGCGCTTTTCCTTCTCCTCTTACAAGAACCTAAGTGACTGAAATTGAAAATTCGAACACTCAGTTTTTTGGTCTTGGATAAGAACAAATGTAAAAAGAGGAAATATAGGACTGACGAGCGGTGAATCAGTGAAAACAGAAAGTAGCTTATTTGGATTGGTGTTGTCTTTCACTACAAATTGGAAAAAGATACCTGCTACTCCGTTTTCATTCATTTGCATAACTTAATATTTTTCTAAGATTCATGGGTACTCTCAATAATTTTTTTCCCTGACATTTTCTTTTTATTCTCCATTCTTTCAAACATTTGAAGTTTTAATATTCTTTGAACAAAGCTCATGTCTGATCTCATGTCTGATCTGACTCCAGTATTTGATGTGCATTTGTTTTAGGTAAAAGACCGATGTTTCTGAGTGATTTACCTTCAGAAAAGGTTATGTCATGCCAAACATCGTACCACTGGCTTTGTTCTACTAGAAAAACCTTAAGTGGGAAATTTTTGCTTACATTTGGTATTTATTGACTATTGGAATTTTAATGTTTCGTATGAGGTACTGTCACCTTTATTGGAAGTGTACTGAAGCAGTTTACGTTGGCTTTTTTTCCGTTGTCTAGGGTTTTTTTCTGGTGTTTCTCATGTCTATTTAACAGGGAGGAGTGTAATCATGCTGTAATGCTGTTGTTGTTGCTAATATGTTGGGTTTTGAGAATGGAATAATTCACACATCTGAAACCGTAGCTGATACCGTCACCTGTCAAGCTCGTGACTTGGTAGTAACAGATAGCTGGGGTTGAGAGAAAAGAGGAAATGAAACAGTGTGATGCAAGTAGGTGAGAATGTATAATTTTGCTGGGCTTCAAAGGTTACTTTTTGCTTTTAATAAGAAAAGGAAACCTGAGAAAATCTGTTCTCGTGGCAATAGTCTCTGTAATAGGGAAAAAGCTCATGCCGACTCTACAGATGTTGGTGAGAACACACATCAATATCGTTCAAGAAAGCAAGGACCAAAAAATTGGATGGTGTGGTTTTAGTTGTGGTTCAGCTTCGATTGATGAGAATCTGAAGCTATCTAACTCATATTTGTGTGGTGTCTTGGACAAGTGTTTGATACATTTGTTGCAGCGAAAACACAATGAATTTCTTCAAGGAAGCATCTGCCTTGGTTGCATATTATCCTGCTTAACTCAGGTAGACTTTCGTGGTTGCTATAACTTCTGCTTTAGGCGAGGTTTTCACAAGAATAGAGAACCAGAAAGGAATGCGTACACAAGTTGGTTGTTTTGCTTTACTTTGAGAGAAATGTATGTTAATAATTCATTTAGTTATATATTCGCAATTCTATCACAAATATTTTATAATAAAATATCATATATAATATATTTTTTTTTCGTTTATGTAAACATCCGTGCATAGCGCGGACACTTTAATAATAAAAAAGCTTCAGTGGAATTCATTTCAATACAATACTGTCATTTTTTTCGTAGTCAACAATATTTTTATGAAATTTAAAGATAAAACAATAGCAACAAAAAGAAAACCAATAATGGATAGACATATTACCTACAATAAAATGAGAATAATCGCCTTTCTCATATAAAAACAAAAAACAAAACCGAGTAAGACTGATGGGTTGTGGTGTCGTGGTGCTGAAATCAAATGGCCAATACATTATACATTTTGAAGATGGTTATACTAAATCATGGATCTCAGGGTAATATAATATGCAAGTAAATATATTATTCTATATAAATTTTGAAAGCAAACAATCAAAACTGAAATGTTTTCTACTTGATAGTGTCACATTAAAATATTGTCTCATAAGGACGAATTTGATATTCCCTATTTGCTTTTGGCGGAAGGTGAAAAATGGTAAATAAGGCTTAAGCTTCCGACATATACTGAAGAGGCAGAACAAAAAAAATTGAGGATGTACGAACGTTTGCTGAAGAGCTCTAAGAATCGCCAGAACAAAAAAGAGAAAAGTAAAACAATTTTAGATAAGGTAAGGTTCATATTACATTGAGTAAACTATTTTTTTAAGGACGAATTGACATGTTTTTATGTCTGATAGGCTCCACTAAATGTAAATGCAGGTCACAAAACATACTATAATAGGCTTAGTTACATATCTCTTCTATGATTTTCGTTTTTCAATCTGGAAATGATCATTAAACAGGGATGCTCAAATGCTTAAATATGGATAAGAGATAAATTATTAGACTTGTAGTTACATGGATATCTACTTCACAATTACACATTTTAACTCGCAGACTACAAATAGGATTGACATGGACTTACACATCGCCAATCTTGAGATATCAACAAAGATGCCAACACAAGAAGAGGAAACCAAAGACTGTCCAATCTGTTTGCAAATGTGTAATGGAAGGAAATATGTCAACTCCCTACCATGTAGCCATGTTTTCTATCATAAATGTATTGAACAATAGATAATAACAATCCCAAACTGTCTAATATGTAGGCAAACATTGTTTTAATAAAGAAATTTCTCCGCAGCCTATAATTATATTCAACTTCAAAGAAAAAAACAAAAACAAAAAAGAGAATAACGGTATCGCACTATTACAAAATAAAAATAAAATAAAAAATAACATTAGAAAAACACTGCGCTACTACAATCCACTAGTTTAGGTAAAATACTTTGAATTTTTGAGAATAATATAGATTATTAATGAGAAACTCACCCATAAACGAGTAAATTATGTGTTGCAATCTATTTTTTACCATAGCTAATTGTAAAAATGTGATATAAGGTACAAAAAACTGTTAATAATTGAAACTTTAAAAAGACAAACAAAAAAATGAAGATGTGATATGGTAGTGTGAGATCATAGATGAATAGGTATTTATAAATTCTTATATAAAACTTAGTATTAAATTGTAATTTAATGTGTATATACAAAATTTGTATATAAGACAATACTAAGATACAACTTTTATATTTCTAGTGTTGTTATAAACACTGAAATTCTAAATAATTACAATTATTGAAATTTGAACAAAAAAAATTTTGAACAAAACGTTTTCTTTAAAAAGAAATGGTAAAATGTTGAAACAATAAACAAATTAAAATTATCCGACTAAATCAAAACAACATCTGAGAATTAATATTGTCACAATGTAAATCATCAATGATTACATAAAGCACGTAAAAGTAAAAATAGTATGTGATATATTTATTCGGCCGAACCATTAGCTGATTGGAATTTCTTCAAACCCATGAAATTTTGGATCAAAAACTCTAAAGTTGAGGAAATTTATCAAGACTATAAAATTTGAAGAAAAACAAAGAAACAACATTACAATTAGGAACATTACAACGAAAGAGAACTATAAAATGTTAGAACCAACAAAAAAGTTTGGCATGACTAAAAGATTCAATAAATGAAACACATTTTTAGTTATCATAATTTATGCTAACATAGATTTTTTTGTAGTGTCTAATTTCTCAACTTCAGTATCATTTCATCTTTATTTTTCTTCTACTTTGCCCCATAATAATCCAAAATATGTTAGATGTCTGCTACTTTTATTGGTTTGCATTAAGAAATAAATTTATTGAACTGTAAAATCTACCTTGCATTTTGCTTCAACTTTCTTAACACATCCAATTTATGCAAACCTACAAAACAAAACATAAGATTAAGATTCTTGCAAAAATCTATATGGAAATAATCAAAATCATTTGTAAAATTGTGTAGTGTGGTGTGGTAGAAGAAAATATTTGCTATTTATAAAAAAGTGTTAATTTTTTTAAGTTTTAGAATGAGCCATAGATGTTACATATTTTTTGCATGAGTTAAATAAATTTAGTATAGTTTAATGGGTAATTTAAATAAAAAATTATTATTTATTTAAAAAAATAGAAATGCCAAATGGTACGATAGGGAGAGAGTAAAATTAGTTTGTATTATTTGTTGCTCTATTATATTAACTCTGTTCCTAATTGATAAGTATCAGATCTTGACCCAAAAAAAAAATATTGATAGGTATCGAAATTTTCACACATATTAAAAAAAAATTAAACTATGAGTTATTTAATTGATAAGTTTCAGAATTATAAATGCATCAATTTTTTGTAATTAACAATTTCTTACAACTCTAAACCAATAGTAATATAATAAACTCAATTGTTTTTGAAATTTATAATTTCATCATCATTAACTACTAAAAATGCTTAGAACAAAATTTATCTTTGTTAAAAAAACCAATTTTCTTTTAGGAAAATGAGTATATAAAATGAGTTCATATTAAACTGCATATGAATTGCCAATGTGATTGTTAATATATGTCATTGAGATTTATTTTAGAAATTATTTATATAGTAGAAATTAGGAATTTTTTTTATCTACTTTCACTTGATTATAATTCCCAACTTATTTCAAAAGAAACAAATAAAAAAAACTTTTAGGCAAGTTAATATTTCACTAAATAGATTTAAATCTTCTTACTAACAATATTGAATACATATAAATTTTTTATTTGAAGTTTAGAATATAACAATTATTTCCAACAAAAAAAAATTTATTCATATTCAATAAAAAATATATTTCTACAACATAGATGCTGAGAGGATTACATTGTTTTTTTTTAGTTGGTTCTTGTTTAACATGCGACTAGGATACTGGCCGCATGCATGTGCGGGCTTGAACGTATCTTTAAAATTTGAATGTTATTGGATATAGTGGTAAGTGTATTGAATCAAATGTTACAATATTGATAGTTTATAGTCTGTGTTCTGATGGGATTATATTTGTTGTGTATTGTTCTATGTATTATATTTATGTATAATGAAGAAAGTAAAAATGAAGATCACATATAATTCTGAAAGAACCCATAATTGAAACGATGTATCTTCTTTGAGAATTTGTGAGTATTCGGTAAAAAGAACATGTCATAGTTCTTGTAATCCTTCGGTCAATTAACGGTCAATCCAAAAATCCATGCAATTCGAAAATTTAGGGTTGGTTTACAAAGGAAAAATGCGAAGATGTTAATAAATTTAAAACACGATATTATTATGTGTTGATTACATTAACAATCTGGTTTATTCATCTGGTTTATTCATAGGATCATCATAATCCATTAATTGTTGTTCTTGTAACTGCAAAAAAAAGTATGAAATGATTTTTTGCCAATGATATATAAATTGGAAATCGATTAAAATAACTATAAATAACAAACCTTGAACAGATGAAATTTCTTTACGGAGGTGGATATTATAAATTGAATTAAAAAACTGTTTGAATCTTTGCTCTCATTTCTGCATAAACTCTTGACAACAAAATCTTCAATATCAAACCATGAACCTTCGGTTAGCAGGGGTTCAAATAGATCATGAAATTGTCGTCTAACCCGAGCGTGTATTGTATGGTCATTTAGATATGAAAGAATTTGAATATTTTTGTATACGTCAGAATATATGTGAATTAGTGGAGTTTGTTAAAATCACATAAAAATATAAATTTTACCTTCGCATCAGCAAGAAACAATTCTAATGTTATGCCCTGATATGGTATATATTCAGACCACTTTCTCACCAGTTTAACACAGATGCACCATTCAGTCGAGCTGTTGTTCAAGTCATTCTATTTTCCGATAAGATGTGAAGGCTAAATAAGTTGTGAGTGTTTGTATATATATTGAAAACTTATCAAGACAGAATAATTTAGGGATTGGTAGATTTCAGGCGAGAAATTCAAAATAAATACGTATATTCGGTCATTATATGATCAACTATCGGGTTTGATAAATTACAATGTACATAATATATTTAATATATTAACTTCTATAATTGCAGTTCTCTTCATGGTAAAAATAGGTTTGCTATAAGATATAGTAATCTTAAATTAACACTCAGTAAAGTTTAGGCTGCTTCTTAACATAAGAGATTGGTAAAACTTAAGAGCCTAAATTATAAGCACATGTGTATACAAAATCATATGATACTAATTATAATAACACCATTAATAACAAATAGTCAGCGTACTTTAATAATTATTTAATAAAAGTTGTAACAGGTACCAGATTAAATAATGTTCATAAAATAAGATAAAAACCATAAACTGATAAGAAATTTAAAGATTCAGTATAAAAAGTAAAAGGTTCAACATTATCCCCAAATATAGGGGAATTGTAACAGATATAATAAAGTTTAGGAGATGAAATCAAATCAGAGTTGATAGAGGATTTCACGGTCAGCTTGGATCTCCATGGATATCAGTAAATGGTAACCTGTAAAATTGAACCACAAAATTCATATTCACTACAAATACACTGTAAAATGAATAAAGGTTTACAGAGAATAGTGTTATATCAATCTAGAAAATCGGAAACTTCTGTAATATGTGGATTAAACAGTACTTGAGATTGGTCACCAGCATTTCTGATGAAGAAGCCGCCTATAACAAAAT